TTTAGCGTCGCCCTTGTAGAGCCTTTAAAATCGCCTCCTGAACCCCTCTTGGGGTGTTCTTGGAGCGTTCGTTGCCACTCTTGGCGCCGTCTTGGGGCTTTCTTGGGCCCGTTTTGGAGCTATCTTGAGCTATCTTAGAGCCATTTTGGCGCCTCGGATGTGCATCGCAAGCGAAACAGTGAGAACACCAAACACATTGATTTTCCCTAGGGTTTTGAAGCATTTTGGCCTCTTGGAGGCATCCTAGTGATGCTATTGTGAGTACTTGGAACCGTTTTGGGAAGCTCTTGGAGCGTCTTGGAACATCATGGGGACCATCGTGAGGCATCTTGCGCTATCTTGAGCCATCTTGGAGGTCATCTTGAGCTCCCCGAGGCCCTCTTGGAGCCGTGTTGGGCCATATTGGACGCTCTAACTACCCGCGGCCCCCCCTGTCCAGGTCAGTGGGGAGGGGGTAGGGGGAGGGGTAAACCCCTCCCCGAAGGGGAAGAAGGATGGGTGGAAGAGGAAACGCTCTAAACCACCGACGCCCAGAGGGCTGGTGGGACTCAGACGAGAGATTGGCGCCATGCTGGCGCTGCTGGGGCCACTGACCGCCCGCAACAACGCTCCTCAAGTATGCGGCCCCTTGAGCCGAGCACTTCTTACTGCGAATGGCTTGCTTGATAGGATGCAGAAGCAGGCCTCCGCGAGCCTCGGGAAGCTCCAAGTGGTCAGCAACCCTGTTCCAAATCCACCCGTCCACCACCCGATCCAAAACCAACCCGAGGGTCCGAGGAGAGAGGTCGAGGGGAGAAAAGGTTCCGATCAAAGGGTGCGTCCACGGGAGTCCCTGAAACTTGATGCCTAATCGTAGCGCAGTGGCTACACACGCTGAGAAAGGGCCTCGGATGCTTTGCCAGGGGGACCCGTGATCGCACAGGCGTTTCCAAGCGTCCTCACTCCGAAGGACCGAGACGGGAAGCCAGGAGTCCCAAACAGCCGAGGCCAGGGCCAGCAGGGGCCCTTTGTTCAAACGGTACGCAGGATCGACACGACCAACCTGAGACATTTGCAACATGAGAGAAACCGATCTGCCGTGCACGCGCGTGGCTTCAACTTGCGCCTGCTGGTGCCTAGCCTCACGCAGCTCTCCATTATTTGTGCCGAGGACCTGGTGTCCATAGGAGGTGGAGGACATGACGGCGGCCTGCACCATGTGATGCGCCTGCCTACGTTTGTGGCGCTGGCGGGCAGGGGCAAAGCGCTCGCGTCTGACGGTCCTGGCAGCAACTCGACCTCCTGAATAATCAATGTCAGGGTTGCGCTCGTGTCGCGCTCCTTTGACTGACAACTTCCGCAGTCTGGCCTAAATGCGTGCGGGGAGGTCGGGAGAGGAGGCAACAACTCTGCTCTTGCTTTGCTTGATGCACAAATCCGCACGCCCGAGCCCATGATGCAATCTCAGCGTGGCGCCTGTGACATTGTCCATCACATGCGACTCGCGCCCGTAGGCGTGGAGCCCGAAGTCATCTACGACCACGCCCAGATGCACCGTGCGAAAAGATGAAGCAACCGCATCTAGCGGTTGGAGCAGCGCGAGCTGCAACATGAGTGTGGCGAAATGACAGCCAGGGATCACAGACTGAAGCGAGTGGATGACTTGCGAGGCTCGACCATCGAGGTCCAAGATGCGAGGGGCACGATACAGAGTGATGAGCAGCTTCAGCTGCCGAAGTGGAAATTGCGAGGCCACGGCGGCCTGAAGCAGCCTGTGATGGGTGATCTGCTCGAATGCCTTTTCAAGGTCGAGCAGGACGAGAGCGCTTGAAAAAACCGCGCCCCTGGCACCATTCCGTCATGGCCGACTGAACCCAAACCAGTCTATCCGAGCCGCGCCCAGCCGTGGCCCACCAGAAGGACCTGAAGTTCGAATCCTGCCAGGGGCGCACCAGATGACGTCGGAGACGTCCCTGGATTCTGGCGGCACACAATAGCAGCCCTATTGGCCGCAAACCCCCCGTCCTCTTCAAAAGGAACACGATCTTCGTGTGGTCGAGAGGCCACTCACAGGTGGCTTCGGTATCCATAGCCAGCTGGATGAGGACCCTGATGGCCTCATCTGGAAGATGACCCAGCTTTCGAGGCGAGAGCGCGTCGAACCCGCACCCAGTCCGAGGAGGAACGGAGCGGAGGACCTTGTGCGTCTCTTCGACAGAGGGGGCTGGAAAAAGGGGGCCTAAATCACTGGGCCGCTCTAACTCGTCGTGGGGCTCACCTATGCGCCACCATTTGCGACATTCGTCAGCAAGCATGTCCATCTCCTGTTGCAGACTGGCTGGAGCAGGAACGAGCGTGCCATCTTCCTTGAAGCGGGATGTGGCGTGCCAAGGGGTGTGCGGTCTCGTCGAAGCGAACAGCGCGGCAGCGCCATCGACCGAATGATCGCGAACCCACTGGCGCCACTCTGACGACTTAACTGACAGGGCCTTGCGATGCTCAGAGCTGGCCCTGACACGCGCAGCAGACGACAGGGCAGCCGCCGAGCCGTAGCACAGGACAGGCGCGTCGCGGAGTACGCGAAGCCAAGCTCCCTCGTGCCCAACAACGCTCACCAAGGGAGGCAGCTTGGCTTCGCGCAACAGCCGCTTGCAACAGACAAGGGCACTGCTGCGCTGCGTGCTGGAGTGCCAAAAAGAGAGGCGATGAAAGGCGTGGCCTGCCCTTCGCCACCAGACGGCGATAGGGCTCAAGCGAGGGAAAGGAAGCCGCTGAGGAGCGCGAGCGCGCACCTGATCCACCTGTAGCTCCCCAGCGCGCCCAATGTGCTCGGCTGCGTCCTTGTCGTCAATCTGGTACATGACAAGGAACTGTTGCTCGACCATCGTGGCGAAGGATTCCCACTGATGCTGTGCAGAGCAATTTGCATTCTCTTGGCGAAGCTGCTCCCACTAAGATCCCAATCGCGAAGTAGGCATCCCGCAGGTCGTACATGCGGAAATCTCAGAGGAACACGCACTTGAGCAACCAGAGGCACGCTGCTCGAAGAATGAAGCTTGAGCCGTACAGGTTTGTGAGGTTCGGTGGCGACATTACTTCGTACATCGACTGAACTCCCAAACTGCAGGCTATTGGGAATCACGAAATAGTCAATCGTTCTACCACCATTCGCAGAGGAGCAGGTGGGAGTGGACGGGGCGGCAATCACGGTATCGATGCTCTCGACCCATAGACTGCCTTGCATCTAATCTGGAGGAATCTGCCAATCACCTTGAATGACGAAAGGCATGCGAAATGATTCGGTAACTTCTTGATCTTGACACAGCAGGGACCAGATTGCTGCTGCTAGCCCGACACTGTGGTGGATGTAGAGCCCGAGCCACAAGAACCCCCCTGGACGCAAGCCGCCGGCGTGAACAACCGTGACGCGCCCAGGTACTAGAACGGTGTCGACCGTCTCAACTTCGCTCATACCATATCCAGCCACCATCATACCCACTCCTCCAGTAACACCTTTACCTGAAGCAGAGACAATGGCTGGCGAATCTTTGGCATTCCATGCTGCCTTACGCAACCAGTGTTCGAGACTTGCGGCGGACATCGGGTGATGTTTTTGAAAGCAAACAGCCTGGCACTTGCGAGCAGACGGATCAGCCACCAATTCATCTAAACCCGCAATACCAGACACGTTCGAGGTGATGATCTCGAAGGTGCTACCCCCCAGCGGTGGAGGGAACGGCCGAACCTGAGCCTGGCTGAGCGCCTCCGTCAGCGCCCTTGGCTTTCTTGGAGAGGTGTCCCTTGGCGGCCTGCAACGTCCCAACAGTAACCTCGCGTTTGACTCCCTGCTGGGTCTCGATACTGGCCAGGAATTCTGGGTCACCGATGAGCGCGTCGAGATCCATGTCGACGGGCGCAGGCTGCTCGATCCCTCCTTGATCCTTGGCGGGGTCCGCAGCGCCAGCCCGCTCAGCAGGAGGTGCAGGCGGAGGAGGGACCAGAGCGTAGCCCATCTCCGCAGCCATGTCCTCGAGCTGGCCCTTGAGCATGTTGAACTTGCGACGAGAGTCGGGGTCGTCATCACTGGGCTCGACGAGTACCGACTTGGCCCACGCCTGGAACTGGGTCTCGGCAGGAGTGGGCGCCATGGACTGGAATGTCTGCGATGCCTTGGCGGCCGCCTCCTGAGCCGCCTGGGTGGCCCTCGCGAGCTCATCCTTGGCAGCCTGCATGGCCCGAAGAGACTCAGCAAGACCAGCAAGGGCGCGAGCATGCTTGCTCTGCGCCTGCTGCAGCTGGGACTGCGCCTCGTCGTTGCCAATCCGAGCGGCCTTGGCTGCTGCACGCGGCTCCCCGATGAGGGTGGCACGCGCAGCTCGCACACGACTCTTAGCTCTGGGGTGCCATCCCTCACAGACAATGTTAAAGGCCTCCTCGGCCATGGTGGCATAATGGTGTACCTGCTGCTCGGAGAGATAGGGCCCAGACGGCTTCGGGGTGAGCTGCGGTGGTCCGTTACGCCACTGACCACGCGGCTGCATAGAAGGCCCGTCACCATGCCGCCGAGGAGCAGGAGTGCCGCACAACCGACATGTGGTGCGCCACGCATAGTTGTAGCGATATCCACACTTGCGAGAATGCGGACAAGACCAACAATCCATGCGGGACTGAAGCGACTGTGAGAAGACAAAACGTGAGGATGATACCTCAATGCAGTGTATGTAGGCAGTGAGGGCCGCAATCCCCTCGCACCAAACCGAAGTCCACTGAGCCACACGCTACGGGCTTGAGCCAAAATGGCTACGGATCTCCTCCTCCTCCTCCTCCTCCTCCTCCTCCTCCTCCTCCTTCCCTCCTGTGAAGAGAAAGACGGCGTAAACGACGCAATGTCTTGAAGGTCCGCGCGGATTTCCTTGATCGTCACGGAGCTCCTGCTCCTGCTCCTGCTTCTCGTCGCATTGTCCCCCTCCTCGCCGTGGGAGGGTCGGTGCGGCGCCCGACTTGCCCCTGGTGGGGTCCCAGGACGTCAAGGGCCTGTCCGGCATACTCGTTCAGCTGCGCGTGCACGGCACGGATAGGTGCCTTTGTGTCACCAGCAAGGGCTGGGTGGCCACTGGTGACAGCGGATGGGGCAGCACGAGAAGAAACAGGACGCAGAAGGCATATGATGATTATTATGGTGGTGAGAATGATGGCGATGAAGATGATAGGTTGAGCAGGAGGAGGAGGAAGAGGAGGAGGAGGATGGTCAGGGTCATAATGCGGAACACGAGGATGAGAGGGGTGAGGAGGGGAGGGGGAGGAGAGGGCTCGATCCATGTTGGCTTAAGCCATTCTGGCTCCAGCCACTTGACTCAGCCATTGCTTGGAGGGTTTCCTTCCCCTGGCGCGGGGACTCACGTTTGACTGCGCGCCTAGACCCGTGTTATACAAGCTTCCATGTATTTGGACGCGCGATGCTTTCCGCTGATGCATGGGCTAGTTTATTTCAGGATATTGCTGTCGGGGGCTTGTTTTAAGGTTGCGGCGGATGCCTTTCGGGTGTGTTTCCCTTCACGCGCGTCTTCAGCGCGTTCCGTCTCAGGGCGGTGCCCGATGCGCATCGGTCTGTCCAGTATGGCCCGTTTTGGGCGTACCGCGTCGCCTTGTGCTTGGTACCGCGTTTCTCCGTGCAGGCGGATTGGGCAGTGCATGTATTGTACGCTCCGGCAATTCCGCACGTCATCGGCGTGCTCATTTCGTGCACGGCTTCAACAAGTTCGGTTTGGGAGTCCCGAAACGGTGCGGTGACAGACCGTGCGGTGACGTCGAAATCCCCCCAGACCTCACCGCACGGTCCGCCAGCGCACGGTTCTGGGACCCTGGAGGCCCCTGTCGCCCAAGACATCCTCGGAGAACGACCCGAGTCCCAAAGCCGTGCGGTGACCCCGAATCCCCACCGACTCACCACACGGTGTGGGCACCACCCCGTTTGGGGGGCCCCTGGTCCGTCCCAGGGCAGCGGCAGGCAGCAGCTGGCCTGTCCAGCATGGGCCTTCCGGGGGCGCTGGCGTGTGGGGTGCTGGCCCCCCAGGGGGCCTCGGCCTTCCAGCTCCGCGGTCTTCGTGTTTTTTTTGTGTGTTTTGCATGGGGGCTCGCCGGAGGGCTTCGACGTGGTCCTCATCTGAGTTTTGGTTTTCTCTCGCTGAGATATCGGCTTTTCAGAGGCTCCGTGGGCTCCAGGAGGAGACGGAGGAAACGGAGGACGTGGCGCGAGCAGAATCAGAAGCAGGAGCAGTGAGAGGCCTCGCAGTGGGGGTGGTTGTGGTCGTCGTGGTTGTAGCCGTGGCAGGCCTGGTGTTCTGGCGGGCTCCGTTCCGTTGGGGTTTCCATGGTGTGGTTCTGGACACGGTCTTCTCGAATGGGGGGTCGACTACAGAATTGATCTACCCCGAGATTGATTTCTCCGCAGGATCTATGGACAAAATGCGTAGAACGCTCCGTAGATTCACGGAGCATCCTACGCATGTCTCGTAGATTCACCGGAGATTCAATTCTGGGGTAAATTCGGGGCTCAAGAGACGGGGGTCAATGCAAACGGGGGTCAGCCAGAGCGCCCGAACTTGCAGGATCCTGCAGGGGGAGGTTCGCACTGACCCGAGTTTGGGTGCAGGATCCTGCAGGACCTTGCAGGATCCTTCGCAGTGACCCCGGTCTGGGTGCAGGATCTTGCAAGGCCTGACTGATCCGGGTCTGGATGGAGCCGGGTCAGAAGATCACCGATGCATCGATTCTGCAGTCGATCCCCTACGAATCACCACCCACCAAACCACCCCAACCCAACCCGAAGGCCCAAATTTATCCTCGATTTCCAGTGGGGGGGGGTCGGGGAACGTTGAGAAAACACATGGTATCCGTACCCCCCCCCAACCCGAAATTCGGGTCAAATTCGGGTCTTCGGGTTGGGTTGGGGTGGTCTGGTAGGTAGTCAACGAAGGATTGCAAAAAAAACCTTGCAAAAAAAAACCCTAGGTTTTTTTTTGCAATCCTTCGGTTTTTTTTTTTTGCAATCCTTCGAAAAGGTCTTCGTGCGCGCACTTCGCGCAGGCAGTGCGCGCGGAGTGCGCGGCGCCGCGGAGGGTCCCGCAGGCCGCACGGTCGTTCTGCGTCCGTCCGTGCTGCGCTCGGCCTCCAGCGCGGCGGGCACCCAGCCTTTCGCGGCACGCGCGGCGCGGCCCCGCCCCAACCCGTTCCTCCTCCTCCTCCTCCTCCTCGTCCTCCTCCTCCTCCGCCTCCTACCCCTACTGTGAACCTCCTCCTCCTCCTCCTCCTCCGTCTCCTCCTCCTCCTACCCTTAATGCGAACCTCCTCCTCCTCCTCGTCCTCCTCGTCCTCCTCCTCCTCTTCCTCCTCCTCCTCCGCCGCCTCCTCCTGCTCCTCCTGCTCCTCCTCCTCCTCCTCCTCCTCCTCCTCCTCCTCCTCCTCCTCCTCCTCCTCGGCGCTGCACTGCGGCACGCGCTGCGCTGCGCAGTTCCTCCTCGGCAGCTTCCCCAGAGACCCCGAGACAGGATAAATTAACCCCTAACCCTATTAGCATGGTAAAGACGTGGCCTCACTTAGGTCCCTCCCTGTCTTTGCACTAGGGATTATAATTCTGGGCGGTTGGGTGAGGTACATCTGCAGGAAAGACCCCCCTATTCCTAGTGTTTCTGGCCCTCCTAACTTAGGTCCCCTCCCAAAGGGTTAAGGGTCCTCTTAGTGCTGATCACTTCTCCCCGCTGGCGACGGGAGCCACCGCGGGCCAACTTGCCTGACGCACCAGCCGAGGTGGAGCCTCGGCCGTGGCCACACTCTTGACAGGTTGCGGCCAGAACTGCTCTGGCCGTGGTCCGCCTTTCACACGAGAGAGGAGCTACCGCTGCTGGTGCAGACTCGAGCCGCGCCGTAGGGAGGAAGACCGCCCGTGCGCTTGACATAGTCGCATCGCCGCCCTGGCGGTCTTTATAACAGCCTCATGGGCCCCGCTCGCAGTCAGCGCGGCGGTGGAGCGCGAACTGGTCATGGTCGTGGTGACAATCTGGTGCCCAGAAGGAGGAGGAGGAGAAGGAGGAGGAGGAGGAGCAGGAGGAATATTAGTACAGAGGAGCCGCACGCAGCCGAAGCACGACATGATAAGACAACTGTACTGCTTGATCCACATTGTTTGGCAGGGGGCATATCGGTGCACGAGAGAGTACATGCGCTCGAACCACCCTCGCTGCTGCAAATCCGAGTCTTCTTGCAGCGCCCTCCTTCGTCAGTGCAGGGATCGTGAAGAGGGGGTGGGCGCGGGGAACGGACCTGCTGGTTTTCTTTGCAATGCGCTTTGGGACACGTTGTGTCCTGAGAACTCTGTATTGGTGCTATTCTGCAGCATTCCTCCATTGCAGATGCTCTGGTTGGCCCGTCGTCTGAAGGACGGTTTGTTCGCGTCGCAGTGTTGGATGACGATGTAGGGGATGAGGACGGATTGTATGATGATGATGATGATGGTGATGATGATGATGATGATGATGATGATGATGATGATGATGATGATGATGATGATGATGATGCTGCTGATTATGAGGAGTAAGAGAAAGAGGAGGATGACTATGGTAAACCCAGGGTGCGTCAACGATGCTGCAACACACTACTCCGCCCCACATCCTCTCCTCATGCGTCCTCGGAAATCTGTTTTTTTTTTATAGCCGCAGCACTCCTCGAATTTCGAGCATCCTGTGGGCGTCCATTTTGGTGGAAAGGCTGCGTTTTTGGAACAGCACGTGTCTTGCGTCATGATCATAAGCTACGGCGAGGTGTCCAGCGACCACCCCAGTTTTCTAACAGGAGCCGCGTCCCATCCGTGCAGCTGTTCGGTCAACTCGAGGAAGTCTCAAGGAACAACTTCTTTTAGACAAAAAATATTGCCAACAAGTCAACAATCTAGTCTCAATAATCTCAAGCCAGATTTTGAACAATCTCACTTTGAACAATATATTCTCAATTATCTCAACGCAACGAGAGCCGGGCTCCATCGTGGTAGTGGTTGCAAACATTGAAGCCAATCTACGCGGCGCCGATGCGAGAGCCCCATTTTGAGCATGATCCGGCCTCAGTCCTTGTAGTCGTTGCTAACTTTTACGACGGATGTGCGGGGCGCTTAAGGCAAGAACAGCATCTTCGACAAATAGTAGCCCTCCATTATGGTAACTGTTGGACATGTCGAATCTCAGGATCATAGATGGTGATGAGGTCTCATGCAAAACTCCCGGTCCGCCCTAGCAGCAGGCCTGGTGGTGTGACAGGGTGGACGTATCCAGAAGGACGGGATCGGGGCAGAAGAGGGGGATGATCAAACACGATGACGACGATGCTGATGTTGCTTATGCTGCTGCTGCTGCTGCTGCTGCTGCTGCTGCTGCTGCTGCTGCTGCTGCTGATGAAGACAGTGCTCTTGTTGTGCTGTTCGGCTCCTTTTGGGCTTCTGGAAGTTTGCTCTGGCGTCGGGATACCTCTGAGGACCCCCAGAGACTTCTGGGCTCCCCCGCCCCGATCGCCCCTTCGCCTCATTCCAGGAGGAGGAGGAGGAGGAGGAGGAGGAGGAGGAGGAGGAGGAGGAGGAGGAGGAGGAGGAGGAGGAGGGAGGAGGGGGAGGGGGGAGGGGAGGGGGAGGGGAGGGGGAGGGGGGGGGGGAGGAGGCAGGTGGAGGAGGAGGAGGAGGAGGAGGAGGAGGAGGGGAGGAGGAGAGGAGAAAAGGGGGAGGGAGGAGGAGGGGGAGGAGGAAGGAGGAGGAGGTGGAGGAGGGGGGAAGGATGAAAGGAGGAGGTGGAGGAGGAGGAGGAGGAGGAGGAGGGAGGGAGGATGAAGAGGAGGAGGAGGAGGAGGCGGAGGAGGAGGAGGAGGAGGAGGAGGAGGGGGTGAAGGAGGAGGAGGAGTAGGAGGAGGAGGCTCCTCCTACTCGTGCTCCTCGCGCAACGTGCAAGATCCTGCACCGCCTTCGGCCCTCTCGCTTCCCTTCCTCCCTCCTCGTCCTCCCCTCGTCCCCCCTCCTCGTTCCCCCCTGCACATCCACCCTCGCCATCCCTCTCCTCATCTTTCCCCTCCTCCTCCTCCTCCTGCTCCTCCTGCTCCTCTGCCTCCCACCTCCCTATTTATACTCCCGACCATCCCGGGCTCCCTGCCCCCTCCCCCCTCGCGCCGCCCTGCCCGCGCGCCTCTCGGGCGCGGGGATCGGGGTAGGCGACAGAAGCCTGGCGACCGTGCTGCAGCTGCAGCACGTGCTCGTGAAGGGGGAGCGCGTGCCCGATACCTACACGCTCCGGGTCCGACGGGGGTGCGGTCCCGTTGAAGCTGCGCCTCCTCTCATGCTCCCGCTTTCTCGCCCTCCCCTCCCTCCCCTCCCCCTCCCTCCCTCCCCTCCCTCCCCTCCCCTCATTCTCGCCCTCCCTCCCTCCCTCCCTCCCTCCCTCCCTCCCTCCCTCCTCTGGTGCTCCAAGTGCCTTCGCTCTCAAGCGGCACCAGGGCGTCGCTCCTGGGCTCTGGGCCACCCGCCGTGCCCTCGTGGGGCCGGCTCTCTGGACGTGCGTCGGCGCCTCGCCTCGCCTGGCCCCGCCTGCCTTCCTCCGCCTCGGCGGCGCGCACAAGGGTGGTGGTGCGAGGGGGCGGCCTTCTCTGTGCCAAGGCGTGGGCGGAGCAGGATCGAGGATCGAGGATCAAGGTGGTGGAGGAGGAGGAGGAGGAGGAGGAGGAGGAGGGGGAGGAAGGAGGAGGAGGAGGAGGAGAAGGATGAGGATGAGGATGATGATGATGATGCTGATGATGATGATGATGATGATGATGATGATGATGATGATGATGATGATGATGCTGATGATGATGATGATGATGATGATGATGATGATGATGATGATGATGAGGAGGAGGAGGAGGAGGAGGATGAGGAGGAGGAGGAGGAGGAGGAGGAGGAGCAGTGCCTCGTGAGGAGGCAGGCGGCGAGTTGGAAGGAAGCCCTCTTTGCTTGTGTGGGCTCCGCGCCCACCTATGCGAGAGGCCTGCCCGCTCCTCCTCGGAAGCACGAACTGCACTCTGTTTATGATGTTCCAACCCACTCTAGCCTTGATGTTCCGAAAGAAATCCGAGCACCAAGAAAGTACCGAAACTGGAGGGTTTTCACATGCTGGGCCCTGGGAGGCGATACTCGTTCGACACTGTTTCGATACTTACTTTTCTGGGTGCTCGAAATTCTTTCTGGGATGTGGTCCTTAAATACGCTGGGAGCAACATAACACTTGGTCTGACTCGTGTCTGAGCTTGCACTCGGGAGTCCCGCAAGGATTGATTTCCTTGAATCCCCTGATTGCCTCGCTCCCTGCCTCGCTTCCTCGCGCGCGCGCCGCGCCCACGGTAACAGGGGGTCTCCGAACGCACCGACTTTGATTGAAACCAGTGACTCAAATTAGGCGCACGTACTCAAGAAGACTCTCCAGAGGTGGAGAGAGGGAGAGAGAGAGAGAGAGAGAGCGACATAGAGATGTATATGTTACTGTGCATTTACATCTATATATTTAAATGTGCACATGTGTATTGAGAGAGAGATAGCGAGAGAGTGAGAACGAGAGAGAGAGAGAGACACACAGAGAGAGAGAGAGAGAGAGAGAGAGAGAGACAGAGTTATAGAGGGAGAGAGACAGAGAAAGAGAGAGAGAGAGAGAGTGAGCAATCGAGAAAATGAGGGGGAGGGGAAGCGGAACACTCCCAACCAAGCTCCTGCTGCTAACTATGGCCGTGCCACTGTCACAGTACCCTTCCTTCTTCGCCTTCTCTTCTCGTTCTCCTTCGTCCTTCCTCCTCTCCCTCCCTCTCCCCCCTCCCTCTCCCTATTCGCCTTCGCCTCCAATCCTCGTCCTGCTTGTCGTCGCCCTCACCCTCGTCGCCGTCGTCGTCGTCGTCGTCGTCGTCGTCGTCGTCGTCGTTGTCGACGTTGCCTCCGCCGCCGCCGCCGCCTCGGCCGCCGCCGCCGTTCCAGTCGCCGCCGTCGCCGTCGCCGTCGTCGTCGTCGCCGTCTTCCCCCCGACCCGATAGTCGTCGCCGCCCTCCTCTCTTGTGCTGGGGAGGTCAGGGACTCCCGTTCGGAGCTGGACCAGGGCTGGCTGTCCGCCCAGCCAGTTAACCAGCTGCGCCTCGGGATCGCCGCCGGGGGAAAAGGACAAGGAGGAGTAGAAGGAGGAAGAGGGAGGAGGAGGAGAAGGAGGAGGAGGAGGAGGATCAGGAGGACGAGGAGGAGGAGGAGGAGAAGAGGAGGATCAGCAGGATCAGGAGGATCAGGAGGATGAGGAGGATGATGAGGAGGAAGAGGAGGAGGAGGAGGCGAAGCATAATCATAAAAACAATAGTATAAAACAAACAGACGAGAACAACTAATAACAACACGATTGATACAACTAATGCTACGAGTATCGAGAATAATAATAACATACATATTATGATTAATACTACTAATACGACTAAGACGAATAATACTACGACGAATACGAGTAATAATAACGTTAATCATATTAGTACTGGTATTGGCATTAACAATCATAGTATAAAAATACTACTAAGACTGCGAATACTGACAGTACTAACATATACTAAGACGAAATAATCACACGAGTAACCATAAGAAGAAGGAGGAGGAGGAGGAGATGGTGGCTGAGGACGATGGGGGAACCAGAGTTCGTGGAGAATGGCTTGAATGTGGAAGCGGAGGACGATGCTGAGAGGGCAGAGGAGGAGGAGGAGGAGGAGGAGGAGGAGGAGGAGGAGGAGGAGGAGCAGATGGAGGAATCAGGTGGAGGGGGAGGAGGAGGTGGTGGAGGGTCGTACGCGCAGCCGAACATTGAGTAGGGGGTTGCGAATCTACCAGCCAGGTTGAAAGAGTCAGCGGGCCCCGCCCATTCCCGCCATCCCTCCTATCATATCACATCCAATGGTGGTTCAACTTGATCGTGGGACTGGCGCGCGTCGCCCCTAGTGAGAGAAAGGCGCTCGCGCGCGGTGGTACTGGCGACTTGGCGAGGGGGGGGGATAGGAAAAGCCGCGCGCGGGCGCGAGCGGAACTCCCAGATTTTTTTTGCGCGGCGCTGCGGTGCGAGCACCATTTAGCCCTCTTCCCGCGCGGCCGCGTCTCGTATGCACGCGCCGACGACGAAGCATGCGCCGCGCCGACGCAGCATTGGCAGCTGCTTTTTTATTTATTGTCTCACGGATCGGCGCGGGCCCCTGGCCCCCTCCTCGACAGCCCAGATCTTGGCTGCTGTCGGCGGCTGGAGTCTGCCGACTTGTCAGGACCCCGCCTCCAGTCTGCTTGCGCGACTGGTATAAAAGCAGATCGACTGCGCACCGGCCCAGACGCAAACCCCCCCTTCCCCACCCTTCGGCCAAGTGTCGAAGCCCAGAAGTACGAACGCTCGCCTGCTATTGGAACGCAAAATTTGCGCGGCGCTTGGGCGAGAACGGCTGAACTTTTCCCCCGCTCTCGTCCAACCGCACTGGCGCCGTCGCTCTCGCGCGACTCGGCGATTGGGGGGTAGTAGCGAGGGCTGCAGAGAAGGGGACCCTGTGGGCCGCTAAAAGGGGCCCTTTAGCGCTCCAGAGGGGGCTTCAGGGCCCGACAAGGGCACCTTTCTCCCCCCCCATTTATCGCCCCCCCATAACCAGGGGCAACGATAGGGGGGTATAGGCATAGGGGGGGATGCATCGACCCCCAATCGTCCATGGATCGCCGATAGGGGCCCGACCGCCCCAACCTGCCCATGAAGGTGCGGAGTCACGGTCGGAGGCCTATCGCCGATCTGTCTCCGATGCATCGCCGATTCCAGGTCGATGTATCCCCCCCATGCCTGTCCCCCCTATCGTTGCCCCTGCCATGAATTCGCGCTTAAGCCGATCACGCAGCACGCGCCGCGAAGTAGCGGGGACACTGCTGTGGGGCTAAATCAGCACGGGGCTCTTGGGCGAGGGCGACAGTGCGCCCGCCGGCGCGAGGCCCCTGGGGTCGCCGTGGGCTCGTCGTTGATGGGCCAGTTTTCCACCACCACCACCACCATATGTAGGACGGGGGAGAAGGGAGGATGGGGAGGTCCTCCTCCTCTCCTCCTCCCCCTCCTCCTCCTCCTCCTCCTCCTCCTCCTCCTCCTCCTCCTCCTCCTCCTCCTCCTCCTCCCTCTCCTACGTATGATAGTGGTGGTGGAAAATCGGCCTATCAGTCGTGGTGTCATGGCATGAGCTCCAGAATGCCCCTCTCGCGCCCCCAGTGGGGTCAGCGGCACTGCGAAAGAATCGACTACACGCAACCGTGACCTTTCGCCGGAGTGACCTTTGGTGCGGGCCCGATGGGGTCCCCGATCGCCGATCGCGAAGCGGTAGCATCTGCTTGCGCGCCCGACCTTGGCCGCCCCGCGTCCCCCGTCAAGTCGCGCACCAGAGGTCTTTTTCGCCCAGGGCCACCCTTACGTGCAGCCGAGGGTCACTCCTCACGTGTAGCTGGAAGAAAGGGGAGAGGAAGAGATGTGTGCCGCGCCCAAGCAGGAGGAGTGTCGCTCTCGGGCGAAGTCTGCGCGGTGCTTGGGTGGGGGCGACATTCCACCCGCTCGCGCGCGATCCTGCCGTCGAGGAGCTGGCGAGTGAGAGCGGTGCGCCGCGGCCAAGCGTGAGCCTCACTCTAAGGCTAAGGAAGAGGCGAGCGCGGCGCCGAGGCGAGAGTGACATTTCGCCCTTTCGCGCGCGATGTGCACCGCGTTCCACTCCCGCGATGCATGCAGCAACGTCGACGACATACGTGCAGCCGAGGGTCACTCCTCACGTGTAGCTGGAAGAAAGGGGAGAGGAAGAGATGTGTGCCGCGCCCAAGCAGGAGGAGTGTCGCTCTCGGGCGAAGTCTGCGCGGTGCTTGGGTGGGGGCGACATTCCACCCGCTCGCGCGCGATCCTGCCGTCGAGGAGCTGGCGAGTGAGAGCGGTGCGCCGCGGCCAAGCGTGAGCCTCACTCTAAGGCTAAGGAAGAGGCGAGCGCGGCGCCGAGGCGATAGTGACATTTCGCCCTTTCGCGCGCGATGTGCACCGCGTTCCACTCCCGCGATGCATGCAGCAACGTCGACGACATACGTGCAGCCGAGGGTCACTCCTCACGTGTAGCTGGAAGAAAGGGGAGAGGAAGAGATGTGTGCCGCGCCCAAGCAGGAGGAGTGTCGCTCTCGGGCGAAGTCTGCGCGGTGCTTGGGTGGGGGCGAAGGCTCGCGCGCGATCCTGCCGTCGAGGAGCTGGCGAGTGAGAGCGGTGCGCCGCGGCCAAGCGTGAGCCTCACTCTAAGGCTAAGGAAGAGGCGAGCGCGGCGCCGAGGCGAGAGTGACATTTCGCCCTTTCGCGCGCGATGTGCACCGCGTTCCACTCCCGCGATGCATGCAGCAACGTCGACGACATACGTGCAGCCGAGGGTCACTCCTCACGTGTAGCTGGAAGAAAGGGGAGAGGAAGAGATGTGTGCCGCGCCCAAGCAGGAGGAGTGTCGCTCTCGGGCGAAGTCTGCGCGGTGCTTGGGTGGGGGCGACATTCCACCCGCTCGCGCGCGATCCTGCCGTCGAGGAGCTGGCGAGTGAGAGCGGTGCGCCGCGGCCAAGCGTGAGCCTCACTCTAAGGCTAAGGAAGAGGCGAGCGCGGCGCCGAGGCGAGAGTGACATTTCGCCCTTTCGCGCGCGATGTGCACCGCGTTCCACTCCCGCGATGCATGCAGCAACGTCGACGACATACGTGCAGCCGAGGGTCACTCCTCACGTGTAGCTGGAAGAAAGGGGAGAGGAAGAGATGTGTGCCGCGCCCAAGCAGGAGGAGTGTCGCTCTCGGGCGAAGTCTGCGCGGTGCTTGGGTGGGGGCGACATTCCACCCGCTCGCGCGCGATCCTGCCGTCGAGGAGCTGGCGAGTGAGAGCGGTGCGCCGCGGCCAAGCGTGAGCCTCACTCTAAGGCTAAGGAAGAGGCGAGCGCGGCGCCGAGGCGAGAGTGACATTTCGCCCTTTCGCGCGCGATGTGCACCGCGTTCCACTCCCGCGATGCATGCAGCAACGTCGACGACAAAGCGTCCACGTTGATAGGACAAACGAAAACTTCGTGCTGCTTATTTGATGGGTAGAACAGAAGGTGCAGGATGCGGGGGCAGTTGAACGGCTAGGTGGCTGATCGGGAGTATCGATTGAAAGGGGACTGGGGTGGAAAGAGGGGGAGGAGGAGGAGGAGGAACGAGGGAGAGGAGGAGAAGGAGGAGGAGCAGGAGGAGCAGGAGGAGGAGGGCTGAAGTCTGAGGGAGTCAGGAGTGACAGATGGAAGGAGGGAGGGGGGGGCAGAGGAAGAGCAGGATGAGGCAGGACGCAAAGGAGGACGAGGATGAAACTGGGGGAGGGAAGGAGGGGGAGGAGGAGCGGGAAGGAGAAATTTGGGGTGAGGAGGGAAGGGAGGGAGGGAGGGAGGAGGAGGGGCGAGTACCAGAGCAAGCCCAGGATGCATCAACGATGCTGCAGCGCACCTTCCCATCCCGAGCGCCATCCTCACAGGGCTTTGCAGGGATTCCTCCTCACCACGGGGAACGGCCCCTCGAAGGACGAGTGCCCCACGGGCCCGTGGGCCTGCAACTGAGGCGAAAGCCCCGTCTCGCCCCAATGGGTCATACACTTCGTGGACTTCCAAATCGCGTAGCGAGGAGGAGGAGGAGCAGGCGGAGGAGGAGGAGGATCACTTATCACTGCGCGATCAGGAGGAGCCCAATCGTGAAGAGGCAGGTTCTTTTCGCAACGAACTGCGGTTCCTTTGAGGAGCCGCCCTTCATCCGCGTGTTTGTTGCACGGTTTTGGTATGCGGGCCCATTTTTGGCAAGGTGGTGTCAAATAACAGCCCCACAGAGAAAGGAACCGGCCTGCTTCTGGGAAGCTGTTGGGAACTTTTCAGACGACTGCTGTGCGTTGCGTTAAGTCGCTGGCCACATTTTGAGAATTAGCCGCTCTCCATGTGCGACACGTGTGATGTTTCGCCGACGAATTAGCCAGGCGCTGATGCGAGAGCCACATAGTGAAAACCAGCCGCCCTCCATCCGTGAAGGCACTTCTAGAACGCGGCGCTCAGGCGAGAGCCGCACTTTGGAAACCTGCCGCCATCCATTTCTGACGCTGTTGCTTCTTTCAACGCGATTTTGCGTGGCGCTTAGGCGAGAGCGGCACTTTGACAATAGGCCCTCCATCCGCGAAGCTGATGGGAACTTCCAGGACGAGTGCGCGAGGCGCTAAAGCGGGAGTCGTTTCGAAAACCGGCGGCCCTCCATCCGTGGAGGTGCTGAGTTTTCTGGTCAGACAACTGTTCGCAGCGCTAGAGCGAACGCCTTCCTTTTGAAATCAGTCCGTCTTCCATCCATGAAGCTGCTGAGGATTTCAGGCGTGAGAGTCAGATGTGGCGAGGAAGTCTCTGGCGAACTGCCCGGCCCGCCCCACCGACACGTCTGCTGGTGCGGCGAGGAGGAGTTACGCGTGACGGAGAGGGATCGAGAAGGGATGGGGAGGAGGAGACAGCACGAGGAGGAGTGATGATAAGAACTGATTCCAGGATGATGGTGACGATGGTGGTGGTGGTGGTGGTGGTGGCGGTGGTGACGATGATAGTGATGACGACGACGACGAGGATTTGGGTGGTGGTGATGGTGACGGTGACGGCGACGGTGATGGTGATGGTGATGAATGGTGATGGTGACGATGACGACGTGGAGGTGGAGGTGGATGAGGAGGAGGATGAGGAGAGGGAGGAGGAGGAGCAGGTTGATGTTAATGCTGCTAGTGACGATGAGGTGGAGGTGGATGAGCAGGATGAATGAGGAAGGCTGAGGGGTGTGAGGAAGAGGAGGGAGGGAGGAAGCAGGCGGAGGAGGAAGGAGGAAGAAGGACGCGGAGGAGGAGGAGGTGCGGCGGAGGAGGACGCGGCAGGGAGACCAGAGGACTGATGAGGGCGGAAGGAGGGATGAGGGATAGGACGGAGGAGGGATGAGGCAGCGGCAGCGATTCCGAAATCAAGGGGCTGGCTGAGCGTCGTGACCGACGTGCACAGGGCGTGCCCCTACAAGGTGATCAGGGATTCGGCGTGCCCACCTGGAGGGGCGAGGGAGCAGGGCTGACGGCGAAAGGATGATCAGCAGGCGGAGCAAGGACGAGCATCAGCAGGCTGAGAAAGGATGATTACGAGCTGAATGATGCCGCCGCTGCGGGCGACGATGATGGTGGTGATGACACTGATTATCGTGATGCTGGTGGTGATAATGGCGAGTGTGTTGATGATGGCGCTGATCGTGATGACTATGATGATAATAATGGTTATGCTGATGATGATGATGATGATGATGATGATGATGATGATGATGATGATGATGATGATGGTGGTGGTGGTGATGATGATGATAATGCTGATGCTGATGCTGATGCTGCTGCTGCCGATGATGATACTGATAATGCTGCTGACGATGATGCTGATGACGATGATGGTAATGATGCTGCTGCTGATGATGCTGATGACGTTGACGATGATGGTGATTATGCTGAGGATGCTGATGTTGCTGCTGACGATGCTGATGATGATCATCATCATCATGATGATGCTGATGAGGGTGATGAAGATGTTGATGATGGTGGTGGTGATGATGGTGGTGGTGATCTGGTGATGATGCTGACGATGCCGATGATACTGCTAATGCTGATGACGATGCTGCTGATGACGATGATGCTGATGCTGCTGCTGCAGATGATTATGCTGATGAGGAGTATAAGTATGAATACGAGTATGAATCGGAGGTGAGGGGGTGAGATCGAAGTGGAACGGAGAGCCCCCCTACCGGGAAATCGATTTCGGTTTCGTGTTCGTGCGTGCCGTGCGTGCGGGCGAGGCGAAGCTGCGTGGGCGGGCGAGAGGAAAGTCTCCTGTGGCTGAGGCGCGGCCGGACCAAATGATTCTCCACCGGGCGGCCGGTGGCGCGCGGTGTCCCGCCGGTGTCCCGGTGGTGTCCTCTGTGGCTGAGGCGCGGCCGGACCAAATGATTCTCCACCGGGCGGCCGGTGGCGCGCGGTGTCCCGCCGGTGTCCCGCCGGTGTCCCGTCGGTGTCCCGTCGGTGTCCCGATCATGATGTTGATGATGATGATGATGATGATGATGATGGTGATGATGATGATGATGGTAATGATGATGATGATGATGATGATGATGATGATGATGATGATGATGATGTTGATGATGGCGATGATGATGATGATGATGATGACGTCGATTGCGAGATCGATTGTGATATCGGTAGTGAGACCGAATGTGAGATCGATTGTGAGATCGATTGTGATATCGATAGTGAGATCGATAGTGAGACCGAATGTGAGATCGATTGTGAGATCGATAGTGAGACCGAATGTGAGATCGATTGTGAGATCGATTGTGATATCGATAGTGAGATCGATAGTGAGACCGAATGTGAGATCGATTGTGAGATCGATCGAATGAGATCGGTTGTGAGATCGATAGTGAGATCGATAGTGAGATCGATCGAGTGCGACGTTGGTCCCTCCCCCCCCTCACCTCCTTATCACCCGAAGGGTGGTCGTATAGGTATGAGTATGATGATGACGATCATGATGATATGTTGCTGCTGACGACGATAACGATAATGATGGCGATGACGATGATGATGTTGCTGCTGATGATGCTGATGCTGATGACGATAGTGATGGGGAATGATGATGATGGTGATGATGCTGATGATGATGATGATGATGATGATGATGATCATGATCATGATCATGATGGGGGTGTTTATGATGATGACGATGATGATGCTGATGATGATGATGATGATGACGATGATGATGATGAGGATGCTGTTGTTGATGATGATGCTGATGATGCTGCTGATGATGCTGCTGATGATGATGCTGCTGATGATGTTGATGATGCTGATGTTGATGAGAAATCATGACGGTTATGATGATGATTCTGATTCTGATTCTGGTGCTGATTCTGATGATGATGATGCTGCTGATGATGATGCTGCTGATGATGTTGATGATGCTGATGATGATGATGATGATGATGATGATGATGATGATGATGATGATGATGCTGATGATGCTGATGATGATGATGATGATGATGATGATGATGATGATGATGGTGGCGAGGAGGAGCAGGAGGAGGATGAGGAGGAGGAGCAGGATGATGCTGGTGGTGGTGGTGATCCTACTATCGCGCTGGACTGGTGTGAGTCCGCGACAGTTTCTGCGCTTCCCTGCTGCTGCGGGCCCTCGCCAGGGATCGATGCACATCCACTGGTGCGTAGAGGGGGGGTTCGCCCAAGGTGGGCTCAGGGGGCGAACCTGGCGCGAGGCTGGCGCCATTCCCTCCTCCCCGGGGCCGCCCAGGCAGGGCGATGTTCCCCTGACCCAACCTGCCCTGACCTTGCGGAAGTTGATCAATTGAGAGGAAGTGTGCTGCCAAATCAGTTCCAGATGTCTAAACATGTTCCAAGCATGTCTAAAACATGTTTAAAACACATGTCTCAAAACATGTTTAGAACCTGTTGTAAACATCGACATATCTTTAGTTCAATGATAGGACTGTTGGAGTGTCCATTGTCATGGCGTCCACAACCCTGACCCCACCTCTGCGTCCCCCCCGACTCCCCCGATGATCTCACGGAGCGTTGGGCGCGACTCGGCAGGACTCGGGCGCCCGAGCAGTCCGAGCCACGGGGAGGCCACGTCGGGGGGGGTGGATCCTGGGATCTGCGCCTTCTTTGTGTGTGTGTGTGTCCTTGGGCACCATCGTGAAGCAGCACCCGTGAAGCAGCACCCGTCCTCCCTCCTTCTCCTCCTCATCCTCCTCCTTCGCGCCCGTATCGCGTCGATTAGCGTCGATTGAGCGTCGATTAGCGTCGATTCAGCGTCTACTAGCTTAAGTTCGCAAGAGCCGACAAGATGGTCTGGGAGGCTCTCATGAGTTGCCACCGAAGGGGGCGATACGTGGGGGGGCAGCGAGGGCCGCAGAAAAGTGGGCCTTCAGTCGAAGAGGAAGAAACGGCATAAACGTAAGCTTGGGCGCTCTGCGCTGATTTCTTGGATCCGCGCTGGGCTCCCCCCCCAGCGGCGCCTCTGGCGCCGCTCCTGGCGCGCTCCGCGCGCCAGGGAAGGGGCTCAGCTCAGATCCAAGAAATCCGCGCGGAGCGCCAGAAGTCTATGTTAATGGCGTTTTCTCTTCTTCTGTTTAGGGCCCCTAGAGGACCCCTGTGGGGCCGAAAGGAGGCCTTTAGGTCCCGACAAGCCAACTTTTTCCTCCGCCCATGCATCGCCCCCCCATGCGCGACGCCCAAGTCAGGAGCGCTTGCTCAGCGCCGCGCGCCGCCGGTTCTGGCCCAGCACGCTTTGGGTGCGGCACGCGAGGCACACGTCAGCCCCCAGGCAGGAGGAGGAGGAGGAGGAGGAGGAGGAGGAGGAGGAGGAGGAGGCGGAGGAGGAGGAGGAGGAGGAGGGGGAGGAGGAGGGAGGGGGAGGAGGAGGAGGAGGAGGAGGAGGAGGAGGAGGAGGAGGAGGAGGAGGAGGAGGAGGAGGTGGGCTCTTCCCAGCCCACCGTCCCACGACGCAGAGCGATGCGCGCGGCGGCCTGTGGGGCATAATTAGCGTGCCGCAGGGGCCGCCGCCGCATAACACGCTGGGACCAGGTTCCCGACCGTGTTCCCCCTGCGAGGGATCGCGAGGCACGCAGACCTGAGTGGGATGAGAGTGGAGGGAGGCAATGCGTACTCCAGATGTCGTAATAAAAGGGAGGGGGTCTGGACCCTCCAAGACAAGCCATTTCAGACTTCCCCCGTGGGAGAACCCTCCAAAACATCGTCCCCAGACCCCCCCAGGCCCTCCAAGATAGCCTGGAAGAGACCCCCCCCGAAATGAGACCCCCCTCCCTTTATTACGAAATCTGGAGTAAAGGTAGAGGGGGACAGGGGCGGGAGGGAGGGAGGAAGCGGAGCGAGGAGGGGTGTGTGGGGCCAGAGGGTTGATGGAGGCGAGCCCCGCGGGGTGAGGCACGTGCAAACTCCTGACCGCGTGGATGGAGGCGCCGCCGGTCGGGCAGCACTACTGCACAGGAGCGGGGTGGGGGGTGTGCGCGTCCGATGCCGCTGATGCCGTTGCTGCTGCTGCCTCTGCTGCTGCTCCTCCGCCCCCACCGTTCGGCCTCTTGGGCTCAGGGAGAGGGAGCAGTGGCAAAGGGGGGACATGATGATGGTGATGATGATGATGGTGATGGTGATGATGGTGGTGATGATAATGATTATGCTGATGATAGTGCTGATGCCATGATGATGGTGGTGATGATAATGATGATGCTAATGATAATGGTGATGACGATGATGATGATGCTAATGTTGATTATGCTGATGACGATGACGATGATGGCGATGACGGTGACGGTGACGGTGATTGTGACGGTGATGCTGATGATGATGACGATGATGATGATGCTGATGATGATGATGACGATGCTGCTGATGACGATGATGATGATGATGATGATGATGATGATGATGATGATGATGATGATGATGATGGTGCTGCTGATGCTGATGATGACGATGATGATGATGATGCTGATGCTGCTCATGATAATGGTGACGATGACGATGACGATGATGGTGATTATGCTGATGCTGATGCTGATGCGGATGCTGATGCTGATGATGCTGATGATGCTGATGATGATGATGATGATGTCGATGCTGATGATGATGATGATGATGATGATGATGTTGTTGATGACGATGCTGACGCTTATGATGGTGATGATGCTGATGCTAATGATGATGATGATGATGATGATGATGATGATGATGATGATGATGCTGATGCTGACGATGCCGATGATGATAATGCTGATGATGCTGACGATGATGTTGACGATGACGATCACGATGACGGTCATGATGCTGATGCTGATGCTGATGATGCTGATGATGCTGATGCGGGTGCTGGTGTCCATGATGCTGCTGCTGCTGATGATGACGATGACGAATGTGATGCTGCTGCTGATGATGATGGCGCTGCTGATGATGACGAATATGATGAGGATGATGATGCTGATGACGATGATGCTGATGATGATGACGATGATGATGATGATGATAATGATGATGATGACGATGGTGTTGGTGACGGTGATGATGATGGTGATGCTGTTGCTGCTGATGATGATGCTGATACGTATGATGATGATGCTACTGCTGCTTGTGATGATGATTCTGATGATGACGATGTTGATGACGATTACGATGATGATTATGATTGTGATAATGCTGGTGCTGATGATGCTGATGATGCTGATGATGATGACGATGCGGGTGGTGATGCTGATGATGTTGATGATGCTGATGACGAGGCGCTGGTGATTGTGATGATGATGGGGATGATGTTGCTGATGCTGATGATGACGACGGTACTGCTGATGATGAAGATGATGATGATGATGATGGTGGTGATTGTGACGGTGATGATGATGATGATGATGATGATGACGATGACGATGACGATGCAGATGATGATGGTGATGATGCTGCTGCTGATGATGATGGTTATGACGATGATGATGACGATGACGATGCTGATGCTGATGACGATGTTGATGTTGACGGTGATGTTGACGATAACGATGATGGTGATGATGCTGATGCTGAGGATGATGCTGCTGCTGATGATGTCGGTGATGATGATGATGATGATGACGACGACGATGATGATGATTCTGATAATGCTTCTGCTGCTGCTTATGCTGCTGATGCTGCTGGTAATGATGCTGATGCTGCTGATGCTGATGATGTCGACGATGCTAATGATGATGTGTCGACTCATGCGGATGACGATGCTGATGATGCTGCTGTTGCTCCTTCGAGAATCTGTCTTGGACTGATTTTCGTCCAGCCCGTTGATGATTATGGCGATGGTGATTGTGCTTGAGATGGTAATGGTGACGGCGATGCTTGTGATGGCGGTGACGTTGACGATGACGGCGTCGCAAACGACGCCGACGACGACGACGGCGACGACGACGATGTTGCTGCTGCTGCTGATGATGATGACGGTCATGATCATGCTTATTCTGGTGATGAGGATGCTGACCTTGCAAATGACCATGCTGCTGGTGATGGTGATGATGGTGGTGATGGTGGTGATGATGATGATTCTGATCATGATGCTGATGATGCTGCTCATGCGGCTGATGATGATGAGGATGATGATGCTGATGCTGATGCTGATGCTGATGATGCTGATGCTGATGATGATGATGATGATGATGCTGATTATGATGCTGATGCTGATGCTGCTGCTGATGATGATGATGATGATACTGATGATGATGATGATGATGCTGATGATGCTGATGATGCTGATGATGATGGTGATGATGATGACGATGATGATGATGATGCTGCTGATGATGATGCTGATGATGATGATGGTGATGCTGCTGATGATGATGATGATGATGCTGATGATGCTGATGATGATGATGATGCTGATGATGATGATGATGATGCTGATGATGATGATGATGATGATGATGATGATGACGATGATGATGATGATGATGCTGATGATGATGATGATGATGATGATGATGATGATGATGATGATGATGATGATGATGATGATGATGATGATGATGATGATGATGATGATGATGATGATGATGATGTTAGCCTCCGCACGCTCGAGCCTTTATCAGGAATGGCACGGGGGGCGGGGACAGCCGCAGGAGACTGCCATGTGCGTTGCGGGCCCACGCTGAAGGCGGGCGCCACGGGCGTGGCGAGAGGCATGGCGCCGTCTCATCTCTTGCGGCTGATTGGCTTCAACCCGCTCTTCGCGTCCACGGCGACGCGACTGTCGGAGCTCGCCCTTGCAGCTCCAAATACGGACGCGATGATCCTGGTGGGCACGAAGGCTGCGTGGAGGAGTGGCGGGGGCATTCTTAGACAACGAGTGGAAGGCAGACTACTGGTGGAGGCGGGCTTCCAGCCAGGACCGTATACAAATCGACACGCAGGATGTGGTATCCTGCTGGGAAAAGGGATACAGGACAGACACATACGACGGACATGGGCATCGCCGAAGGGAGCGGAAGGCCGCGCGCTGGCGATCAGGGTGAAGAAAGGCTGTATGGATGTGGTCTACGGGGCGCTTTACTTCCCTGTGCAGCCGACGAACAAGGAGAAGATGGGGGCCTACAAAAAGTGTGCCAAAGTTCTGACGCAATGGCGGAGACAGATACTCCAGGAACTACCACAACGTACATTGCCATGTTTCTTTGCGGACAGCAACGACGGCATCGGACTTTCCAAAGTGGATGGCGTTTGGCAACGAATGCATTCAGAAAGACTGGGGGAAATAGTGACCCGAGAGTGACGCAGAGGAGGTGCAGGCGAACTGATCAGGCAAGTGTGGGACGAACAATACATGGCGGTGCCCTCCTTCTTTGGACGCCGCGAGGAGCCCACATATTACGCGAGTGGACCAGACGGACGGCCAGGAGGATGCAGTACGATGGATTACTTCTATGTGCCGCAGGGTACATGGAGAGAGTGGATAAAGTGCATGTGTTAAAAGACATGGGGAGACGTGTGCAGGCCGTCAAGGGCGTCCCGCCGAAGGATCTCTTGTCAATACTGATTGAGATCAGGTACCAGAAGCACATGAGCGAGCAGAGCACCCCCCAGGATAGAAGGAGATGCGACAGGACAGCCATGATGAACGCTATCGCGCACGGGGTGGGGAAGTCTGAGTTCCTCGCCGAGGTTGCGGAAGAGCTGGCAGCACGGGAGGATCAATTCCGGCAACACTTGGAGGAGGGAGCCCCTGATAACTATTTCGAGCTGCTGGAGAGCATTTTGACGAACGTGGGCTACAAGCACTTCTCGATCACTGAGGAACGACGAGACAGACAAGAAGGAGCTCGATAACGACGGGAACTACTTCGGAAACGCGCGGAGATACGCGATGGACGACAGCATGCGGATGGCGCCGGCTTGCTGGACATCGGGATGAAGCTGAAGGAGCTATCGGCCAGGCTGAAGGCTCAGAGGCGCGCAGAGCAGGAGGCCATCAGGGACGAGTATGTAAGTCTGGTTGAGGAGAGCTGGGAGCAGAGAAAGTTCGCGGACGCCATGAAGTATTCACGGTTGGCGGCGCGGTGTCGATTTGGAGCTAAGCATAGAGAAGGTCGACGGTTCGGACCCCTGCCTCTGGAGAGCGAAGAGTGGATGCAGCAGTGGAGCAGACCAGGACGGGAAGGAGGTGCAGGGGCTGGAGTTCTGGATCGGGGGGAATGGCGACAACGACGAGCTGGGCTCCCAGCGCCGCAGCAGGTTACGGCGCTGATGGAGGAGCAGGCAAACATGGACGTGGGGCACATTGCCAGGTACGTGCGGAGGGCACCGAAGAGGGAGGAGGTCCCGCCCAACACGGCGCCTCTCGAGCTTTGGGGCCTGACCCTGAACGCGGCAAAGGAGACTGCCAGGCAGAAGCTGGGACTGGGATATGAGACGCAGAAAGGGGGCCAGGTGCTGTTCAGGAGCGTGCTCTTCCATGGGATCCTGCTGATGAGGAGAACCAACCTGGCCCCACTGTGCTGGCACCGAAGCAAGGCAGTCGGCTTGGACAATCAGAGCGGGAAGAAGGCGGCGGCGGGGCGCAGGGTCATCCACTGCTTGGCGAGCATGGGGAGGGCCTTCTATTCCACAAGATTGACCTCCACCCCTTTACCGCAGAGCTATGGTTTCGTTAGGGGACGGCGACGCGAGGGGGCAATCATGGCATCTCAGGTACTCAGCTGGCGACTGGCACGGGGAGGCTTGGTTTTGCCGTCGCGATGAAGGACCTCCAGAACGCGTTTGGCTCGGTGAGCTGGCAGGCGCTCGAGAAGTCAGCAGAGGAGAGCACAAACAACCCGCAGGACGTGGACCTCTGCAAGCAGAGGTACAGGGACATGGTCGTGGACTTGCCGACGCCAGAGGGGGTGCACACGGTCAAGATTGGCGACGGATTGATGATGGGTAACCCCTTCAGCGTGGACGCCTTTGCCGCCTCCTTTGCGGAG